TAACAACAGGTACGTAACTGATTTATCACAATTCTGTAAGTACATTTAAAACTTTTTACTCATAATTTTATTATAAATATTCTAAGATTTACATTGTCCTTAACATTTACATTTGGAATCCATTTCATTATTTAATAATGCGCTAAATACTTTCAGATGATTGCCTGGGATATGGTATAATGTTCGGTGGGAAAACATCGTATATCTTCAATATTGTAGTTGTAAGAAGCGATCGAAAAATTTTTAACTTTCGCAAATTTCGAAAAATTAGGAGTTTTAATGAAAATTAGACATTCGTCATTATTTTAAACGTATTCTACGTTATTCAAGGACGAAGTTTAATAAATATAGGCTACCTAATAAAAATTAGGGCAGAGATTAGTTGTGTTTAGTTAGTACTAGAATATGTCTTTATTTATGCAGACAATCTTTGTATTTTTGACTGTTCAAAAATATGAAAAGGTTATTGTGACTTTTTTATACTCCGTATTTCTATTCCTCTTCAAGCGCTCATTGATCAGCTGTTTTCGTGGGTTAACCTGTACTTAATCGTCACAGTTTCCCCTAGCGGTCTCAAACAGTAAAACAGTCAGAAACTTCAGAGAAGTGGATATTATTGTTGATTCTGTCCTTCTGGGTACTTTAATTAAAGCTTGATAATGGCTCAACTATTTTGACAGCAGTTTTATCTTTCCTTTCTGTTTTACTTTCTTGCTACCGCTTACGCAGTAGAGAGAAAATTCTGTACAGCTGCGCGAAACTAACGTGAATTTTCGACAGAAAAACTCTTATTACAGTGCACTAGTAACGTAAAAGGGGATAAATACCGTTGCAAAGTTTTAAAAGAAAATTTTCTAACACAGGATGTAGCCAGAATCCATGTTTTGAGAGTCCTTGATAACAAAAAATCGATTGACGACAAACGTCTGCCCGTCCGTCTGTCTGCCAACAATGCTAGCGGCTAAATCGTTCAGTCGATTTTCTCCAAAATTCATATTGCCCAATCGATCTCGCTGATGTCTCGGCCCCTTGAATTTGAAAGCCCTATTTTAATTTTGGGGATACTTTACCTGGAACAGTTTCAAAATTTTCAAAAAAATGTCTCCATTGTTTAAAAATAAACTTTGTTATTGGATAATGTGAAGGTTGTTTAAGAGACTGGCACAGTTCCCATAGTCGTTGAAATCCTGAATTTTCGAAAATTGCAAAAGTTTTTTGGGTATCTTCCTATAACTAAAATATTGATTGTAAAGAGTTTTTCCCTTAATTAAATTTCTGCCTTAAAGATAAATTTTGAAACAAGGTCATGCATAATTGTTTTACAAAAAATGATGACTAAGATGTGGTGTTTTGCACAGAAATTCGGGAATAAATAGTATTACGAAAGCATTACTGATGAGAAAGTATGATACGTTTTGGCACCACTAGTTTCATGTTCTTTCTATGCCAATTCAAGCCTTGAATTTGGCTTTCATTGAAGAAATCAGTTAATATTTTGATAGCGTGGACATTGTACTCCATACACACATACACTTCACGAACACACACCACCCACTGCACTCACACACTACACACACACTACACACACCACAAACTACACACACACTACACAACACCACTAACTACACACACACACACACCACACACACAACACACAACACACAACACACACAACACACAACACACACTACACAACATACACACACCACTCATCAACTTTTTTGCATAGATACCCTCTACATTCTACTTTATAAGTCAGGGATTAAGGTGTGTAAGTTAATATTTTGCATTTGCTAGCATGCCTTTCTGAAACAATAGAAATATGAATGTGCAAACCTAGGATTACTTGGCGACATCAACTGCCCCATCGAGAATTTTTGCGAGGCTAGGTACACTAACATTTCGGACTAAGCTGAGGGAGACACGAACATTCTCGACTTTTTTTCTCAATACAGAATGAGAAATATTGTTGTCATATCAAGTAAGGCCTGCAAAATCATTTCAACCGTATACCCGATATACTGTTCAACGCGATTCTTTAATCTTGAAGTTCCATCAATAATCTGGTTTAACTTGAATTAATGCAATCCGCAGAGCATGTAGGTATTGCGGAGCAACGGTGCGGCATTGTGGTGGGGGCCCGGCGAAGTGGTTGAATCAGACGGGGGGAGGGGGGGGGAGTGGACGATGAGAACGGGCTGCGTGCAAACAAACTGTACATCCAATCGGCACTGGGCCTCTCTAATTGAGTAGAGGGCGCGGATAACGAAATCAAGCGATAGGATATATCCGCATAAGGGGGTGAAAAGAGCCTCCAAATCAATTCGATAATCGAGATACGTGAATGAAAGAAAATAAAAAATCAGCCTCCTTGGGCAATGTGTTACAGAGATGCAATGAGAAACCTTTTTCTTTTTTTACAATTTATATAAACTGATATAAAAGTCCAACTTTGCAGCATGATTTACAAGTTGTTTTTTGTCTTTTACAATGTTTGTTTTTTATGTGAAAAGAATGAACAATATAGAAATAAAATCATCAAACCTCTTTTGTTTTTGGATTTATGTATTGTTCCTAATGTAAAACGATTTTCTCTGTTTAGGTACACTATTAATTATTCATGTTTATGATATAAATAAATTTACTCAGATGTAGTTTTTTATTGACAATTCAGACCATCACAGACAATTAATCGTTTTCACTATCTTCTTAAATAATTGGGATCACGCGTTCATTTATAAACAGTCAACTCAAAATGTCTGACGGGTTAATAATTTTCGCGAAGAAACGAGCGTGTGCGAAAAAAATTATCGCTGCTACGTGGAAGCAATATCCCAGAATGGATTTCCGTTTGCACATTCACAATAATATTGTTTCACTCCCGATATAGGCGGTTTCCATTGTTACACTTTTCGTGGTGGAAAGAGATGGGTAGGCACCTCCGGCGCACCGATTTTGCTCGTTCTTCGCAGCTCAAGTTGGCACCACCAACCACGTGACCAAAACACGGGTTCTTCGCTTGGAAAACCAGACCAAACGTTGGCCACTTTGTTGCATGGAGACCGAGAAGTGATGGGAAAATGGGAAACATTTGTAAAGTAGTATAAAGTGACAATTTTCCGCGGTAACTGACACGATGAAGATGAACATAACCTGGTGAAGATGTAAATGAATTAAATAATGCAATATTGAAAAAATACTGCCCATCTTTTTCTGTTTCAATGACTTCTAACTGTGATAATGTTTACATTTAAAATTTCCGTAAATGTTACGACCAAACGTGGTGCTTTATGTTCATTGTCTGAAGTCGGATACGACGCGCAAGAGTTCACCCGTCTGTTTCCACCACGGATATTCCGATTGAGTTAGGTACATAATCGATGTAAAATCTATAAGATGTCGAGTTCATACGTCGTGATTTAACTTGCGATTGAATATTGGTAAAAAAAAAAAATTTCAGACACATTTTGGCGCGAATTTCAAATTTTTGAACTGATAAAATTGGTTTTAGTTATTTTTCATTATCTTCCACATTATTTACATATTTGAAAAAATGTTATACAATGTTATGAGACACACTAGGGGGAAAACGGAGCCAGTATTCCGTTATCATATCAAAAATCAATTTCGATTATTTTCGATTTAAATTTGACGTCAAATTTAGTAGGTAGTGCACGTGCCGTGGTAGTGTAGTGCATGTTAGTGTAAGTGTGTGTTGGTGTAGGGTACTGTTCCGCTAATCGCCTGGTGTTGATCGGAGAAACCACGGGAAACTGCCTCAATGCAGCCAGCCGCTGGAATTCTCCTCCAGACAGCGACAGCTACTCGACCCAGCTGACAAGCTAGTGTCGAAAATCCCACTTGAACCTAGGGCCTCCCGGTCAGAGGCCCTGCAGTGACATCAGTTGCAGCACTAAGCCACCTCTACCAGTAACTTCTTCGGATCTTCCCGCGGTCCTGAGATAACGGTAACGTTAAATATAATGCATGCTACTTGCGAACCTCGTCTTATGTTTACGTTCACGATTACGTCGGCAATCAATGATTTGAAAGGCTCTATCGTATGTCAGGGTAACATTCTTTTACATGTACTTCACATTTACGATTAAATTACATTGTTTGATTGGTGTTTAAGGGACATCAACTGCTAAGGTCATTAGTTACGTTAGTGTAGAGAATGTTTTAAAATGTTGAAGTAGCAATGATTCCTCCCCCGCTGTAAGGTGACATCCGCTCCGACCTACTCGTCGTATTGGATGGAATTTCCGCCTCCCAGCATGTCGTTCATCAGGACCCCGTGGACAGCGGCCGAATTCGTCCTAGCTATCTGCCTAGAGTCTGAAATCCGCCAACCTCAAAACTCGAACCCAAGAGCCTTGCGGTCAGACACACTGCAGAGAATCGAAATGCTGACTCTGAGCCAACTCACTCAGTGTTTTTTAAATGCACATTTATTTTTCATTCGGAAATACATGGTTCAGTTTATTTTCACTTTTTCATATGAATTGGATGGTTTACAACTATTCGTATTTCTAATCCAAAAAACGAATTCCAACTACAGGAAGGGATAGGAAGTTACAATACGCACCTACTGTTAACAATTGTTCAAAAAATGTTTAGAAAGGCGTTAAAAGGGTATCGGGTTTTTATTCGTATTGGAGAACAGTCTATCGAAGCGAGATTGCCGTGGATGGCGTGTGGTATAGAGTTGATGATTGAATAGAAGTTTCTGGCGAGATGGGCTAGACTCAGTAAGGTTCATGGCGAATGGTAATTTAGTGAGTAAAGAGAGGCGGGGCGCGCCGCGAAGCTCCGTGTCTCGCCGCCGTGCATCTGCTCCCTTCCACAGGCGACGCATCCGCTAGCTTATCGGGCGATCAAAGGGCGAAGGCAAGAGGGACGAGACGACTCGCGTGCTTCTCGCCGAGCTGCAGCCGACACAGCAGTGGTTCACAACCTCCTAGAATGAAATCTACAGGAATCACTTCATGTTCATGCAGCTATGATAAATGCTTGTGATCACAGCAATTTTCTAGCCTATCCTTCTTGTCAGAACAAGGTTCCGTGGCTTCTAGTAGCTTTTCGAAGTGGGAAACTCGCAGCGATTCAATTCCACCTGACGCATTTTCGCTTTCCTTCTATAATAATAATAATAATAATAATAATAATAATAATAATAATAATAATAATAATAATAATTCGATGTTACGCACTTATTAAGCATAGGCAATGGAAGAGGGTAATGTCTCGATCCGTCTTTACCTGGCAATGGTTGGGAAGATGGATACATTTAAAATGTTCGATACACAAGTAAAAATCACTTTTTCCTAATATTTTTAATTTAAGCCAATACATTTAGACAGCTTTTCTGATACCCACACAATTGTGTTAATTGATACCTTTTAATATATTTCTTTCCCGGCAGACGTCCAATGGTGATTTACAGTTGTATTCCACTGTTTTAGTGAGGATATGACGTCATCGGGATGATTGATTGTGGATAGGATGATGGGTCTGTTGAAGGATATGTGGTGGGAAGGATGTGAAGATGCCACCTCGCTCCAACCACGCGGTGAAAACCCCCTTTCCCTACACGGGGCTCGAACATGAATCTTCGGCTCCGCAGTCTTGGACCTGTTCCAAGCATCTGTGCCCGACCGCCAGCGCTCTAGTTGATATGCACTTCCTAATCCGATATTCTCATATCGCGACAGCTGATTGTCTTCAAAATCTCAAAACAACGTCAGTCGACGTTAGGAAATGTTTCATCTGTTGGTCTTAGAAGAACTGGACACGTTGTGAGAACCACACACTGAACACAGTACTTTGTCGTGTAAACCATTTATGCTTTACTTCACTATGTATGCCTCAGCTCTTTGTAATTTTCTAGTTGTCCTTCAACTTCACATTCTAGAAATATTCTAAAAGGTTCATAAAAGCATGGTGCACCCGTGACTTCGAAATTGAGGCTGCATAAGTATGCAATTCCTTATAGAAAACGATCTTATAATCAAGGCTTGTCAATTTTTAATTGGCAGACTTTTTTCCCGAATCAATTAAATTAACAGCAGTCACGAGTGCCTGAAAAACCCGATTTGTTAGATTTTTTCGAACAAAATTGAATATTCAGAAGTTTACTTCAAATTAGAAAGATATTACATTTTCTTCCTCCCTGGAGACCAGTTGAGGCTGCGAAATATTATAAATATGATTATGAGAGCATTTGCAGAAAAAGGGACGAGAAGTTCTGTACATCGCCTTTGTGTTCTCATCAGATGAGAAGATTCTGAAAAGACGTCATATAATTGATAAGATTAACACGTTGCCGTAATAATTATTACACATTGAAGAAATTGTCATGGTTACCTTTGTCTGGACGAAAATAAGCGTTCTCCTTACAGATTCTATTCGTTATTCATGCCGTTTTTTGCCGCGTTTCGAAGCGCTCGTTCACAGAGACTACATACCGTCCTGCCAACATACAAACCAATTTTCAATGCGCCCAATACGCGTATTCCTTGGCTTCTCTACACGATTGCTACGAAACTGCGCGCGGCTCCATGTTCTCAAACAATACGACATCGTCGCGTCTCATGTGAAACAAATTGGATTCCGGGAAGTTACTACAATGTGCAAAGCTTTTGCGCCCGCTGGCCAGGAGGTGGTGCGATCTACCGGTCATTTTTGGAAGCAGTTTGAAGGTTTATTTCAAAGAGCTTCAAAATAAAATGAATTTTTTGCTGCTTGTGAGAGAATTCGCGGAGTTTTGGGCCAAATATCTGGAACGCGGAAAATTTGAAATGAATCATCCTTTTTTCTTAAATACTTCATAGAGTTGCCAAACTGAATGAGCTCCAAGTGTGGCGCCAAATTTGACTTAATTGGCCACCTATGCCAACAAGACCTAAGAATTTAAACTAAGAATATAATCCTCTGATTCGTATTTTCAATTCGTGAACTAATTTCGAAATGTTTAGAATTGTTTCAAATTAATAGACGAGACTGTAGTACTTTTGTAAAATGCGTAAATATTATTTAAATGAATTTCATTTTTTGTCGGCGCCAAATCTCACCTTCCAACAGGAATGGAATACCGCCACTTCCCTCGATATAACACGCACTACACTAACAGGACTAGTGGCGTCAGGGTTTGGCTCTCCCTAAATCAACACTCAATCGCTTACCCTTAGCATCAAAAAGATGTTAACCTCGCTTACTGGAAAAGGAAATCCGCGGTAATGTCTGTTACAGGGCTTCAAATGGAAAATGATGTCTTCAAAGCAAGACATTGAAATATCCAAGTGATCCTTACATCGTCAGGAACTTTGCCTTCATATTTAAACGACGTCAAACAGAGCCTAATCCACTCTAGGTCGTAGTGTAAAGATAATATTTTGAAGAATAAATGACATAAAAATCAACAAAAATTGCAAACTTGTACACATGTCCATGCAAACTTGTATAGTTGTCTCTTGTCCTTAAAAAAATGTACTAATTGATCAGTCACACAATATTTATCTGCAATTAACGTTGGTAATGATAGTTACATATTATTCCAAACTGCCAAATTCTCTTAAGAACGTATTATGTATACGTATAATGATATATGAACGTATGATTATGAACGTATAATGATAATGTCTCCATTTTCGTCAAACGGATAATGTTATTTACAATATTAATGGACATGATCAGAATATATTCCAATGGTTTCTGGTATCTCTATATACTCTACATTGAACTATTCAAACCATGAAGATAAACGTGTTACAACAAAAAGTTGGACAATTCAAGAAGGAAGGAGTGCAAGTATTTTGAAGAGATTTTAAATTTATTTTATTACAATAAAATTTAACTTTTAAATAATTTTCATTTTTGTAGTTACTTGTTTAAGTTTAATTTTATTAATTGTAATAGTTTTAATTTGAAAATAAGAGTTTGTCTGATATAATCCATTTGTTATTCAATTACATTAATCTCGTTTCCTAGATTCTAGCTGGTCTTCCAATTCACAAATTATATTAGGAATTCATGTGCATAAAATCATGACAGTCTGCTATTTTTTGATATTTGCACTGCATATTCCATTTTTCACAAATCCTTAATATTTATAAAGTGAAAGAACCTTTTTTGACCTCTCCATAAAATTATCTTTATTTTAACACCTCGTTTGTTAATATTGGTTGGATGTGAAACTCGCTAAAAGTGTCTGTACTTCAGAAACAATATGTGTAATTTATACTACATGAAATTGATTGTGGATGCATGTACTCGCACAATCTCGACTACAAACCTAACTTCACAGCGAGGTTGAGAGAAACAAGGGGGTTTGTGATGTGACAGCGGGCTACCAAAGGGTTGAGAGACAGTGGATGTGTTAGCCGTCGGCGGCGCTGTTAACGTGGTGGGCCTCGGGCGGGAAACTCAAAACTCCAAACATTTATGTTAATATATGAAGTAAAAACTGTATGTGACGCATGGAGCAGAAGTAGAAATCTGCGCATGTTTTCTTGAGCACTACTATCTTTGCCACACCCTTTTACTATACATAGTTCAATGATGAATGAAAGTAACAAAAAGAGGTTAGCAATATTTGAATACTACACATTTTACTCTTGAATTATATACTATTCTACTTATTGAAACCAGTAACCGACCTACGGTTTTGACTTTTTACTATTGCTAGCAATATTGCTACCCACATCCCCGGCTCTACTCTTGCCAAAACGTGCGAAAGGAGAGTTCAATAAAACGTGCACAGATAGTGAAGCTACGTTTATGTCCAGAAGGAAAACAAGGAGACTTCTAAGAATTCTCTCAAAACGGCAGCGAAACTGGAGCAAGACCGTGATCGAGATGAGGTCATTGACCCACAATGTGAGGTACAATACTTATTACAGGTATATCTATTATTTTGAAATTATTCAGTGCAAATGTTAATTAATTATCATTGTAAAAATAAATATTGTTTTTATTTTTTACTGCCAATACATTATACAACATTTCATCGTACACAATTTTCATTATCTTTGACCAACATCCCTTTATATACGCTTGAATATCTTCAACTCGTGCTCGAGAATTGATCTCACATGAAATGCACTGTGGTGCCTGATGCACCCTAGCGATATCTAACATCAGCACCCAGCACGTGACTTGCGAGGGGTTGAGAGGCAGTGCAATCGCGTGTGATGCATTGTCCGCGGGGCGCGCTGTCGACGGTGGCGGCCGCGAGCGGAAGCTCAGTGGCTGGAAAGGGGGCGAGGCGGGCGAGGCGCCCTCCGCCCTCGATATCGAACCAACCGAGGGGCGATGCGAAGGCGCGGCCTCGCCATGCAATGCGCGTCTTATTCCGCGAACGTACAATTACCGGGGCTTGCTGCTAAGCAAAACGAAACTATCAGAAGTCAGCAGCGGTATCTGAATTATTGTCAATAAATAATGAAATAAGCGATGATTCCATACGAAATTTAATTTTTTAAATTAATAGGCGTTTCGATCTCTAAGCCTAAGATTCTCTTCAGTATGTAACATATCTCAAAATACACAGATGTTTCACAATTTTTTAACGATTAAACTTAAAATTTTTACTATTAAAATAAAGTTCTCAAACTGCAATACCTTCGATTAACTATAAATATGGTATTAAAAATGTATGTTTGTGTGAATTAGAAAACTTCATGTTAATATGAATTAACCTATAATTTATTGATTAAGCGATCTGAACGTACCTATTTAGTAAATTTTCCATTTATCAGATTTGCTAACATGAAAACAGTCGCTAATGTTTATCTTTAATATTTTAATTTAGTCGGACTAAGAAAAGCAGGCCATTAATTCCGTTATTAAAGTTTGTGAAGATAGTTGCTTTATATTTTGCCATTAAAATTAATATTTGAATATAATTGAAATAATCTATGTAAATTATCTGAAAAATAATTGATATTTAGATTAATTGTCGTAAAAATAAACTATTTAAAGTTTCCAATAATCGTACAAAATAATCGTATGTTGTACTTCTTGCGATTAAATCGCCCAACCCTACTAGATAGCCGCTATATTTGGAAAACTCATCATGAAACGGAAACTAGAATGGGATTCGAGTTATTCCAATCGGTAGACCAAACAAAGTTACGAATAAATACTCAAGAACAGCTACGGATTATTGGCGGATTAGACATACTCAGGAGAATTTTTCACAGTGGAATTTAAATAATTATTTTAAACTGTAATTTAATTATTTTTTTAATTTCAACTTAAGTAATTATTTATACTGTATATTAATTAATTGTTTTCTTAATCGCAAATTAAATAATTGACATCTAAATAGTAATTTAATTATTTTTTTAAATCGTAATTACATGAATTAATTCGAATGTTTCCGTAATATCACTCGAAATTGGCAAAACTAACGTGCTTGTAGGCGTTGCTAAGTAACCTGGCTTCTGAAACAAGGAGTGTTCCGAGCAATCAAATACGATAAACTCTTGCGCTGTTTTTCAAAAGCTGTGAACAGCCGATTAAGCCTCAAAGAAGTGGGTTGGAGCAGAAGTGCTACTCCCTTTGTTTGCGTCGAAGGGGCGGAGTGCGAAGCGCGACCACTCTGCCCCCTGTGTTCCAATCCAGGAAACGATTCTATGCTCCAGTGCCTCCCTCTCACATCAAAGAGCAACTTCGACGATACCCCTGATATCAAACGTGCCGTTGCAGTAAGTCAATGTGATGTGTAAACGACGATTTGCTTAATTTAGTTATTTCTAACGAGTAGTGTCTGCTTGATTTTTAGTTTCAGCTGATGACTAGAGGAAGTATACATACTATTTTTCTCATCACATCGTATTTTAAGCTTTTGAAATCATACTAACAGGATTTTCAGAATTCTAACAGAAACAATGAGTTTTGGATTAATCATATACATATATTTAGATAGTTTATTATTAAAATTATACTATTAAAAATTGCGATATTTTATTTAATATTGCCACTTTTATTCAAAAGTTATTTTATAATTTTTAGGAGCGGCCTAGATTCTAGGAAATGTTTTCAGTATATTTTTATAATTCTTAAAACGTTTTGTGCGAATTTCGGTCAATTCAATGTAGAATTTGAAATATTCCTGAAGAATTACCTAAAAGATATCTTTGTTGAAATAAATTTACAGTTTTGCTCTCAATCCAATTCTAAGGTTTTCAACCAACTTGAATTCCACAGTTTTTGTAGTGACGTCTGTCATACTATGTTTTTTACTTAATATTTTGTATGAATTAATAGATAATAAATGCATGCGTATTTTCATAAATTTCAGTCATACAAATTTGATTCCTTCCGACGACACAAGAGCTCTTTCACTTCTGCTTGTAGTACGAAAGACGTCCACCGTCTGTATCGAAGATGCGGGCAGTGGCCTGTAACAGTCGCAGCTTCAGATCGCATCCCTCCGAGATTTCAGAGGTATCGGAGTAATGGCAGGTCATTATACATCCCACTTATCTATCAGCCTATTGTGTATCACTGTGTTGCGTGTATATGACCAACAAAGCGGGTTGTAATCATTATAAACAATAATTTTTCGTGTGGCTTCAAATCACTTGAAGCTGCCATTTATTTTCCATCCCCAGCGTAATTCTCTCTTTTCCACACCGCACCGGTAACACAGAGGCAACGCAGATGAACGTGAACAAAGATCATAAAAAATAACTTAAGAAAGCGTACACTCTATCAACCAAGAACAATTGTTTTCATTGTTAACTGAGTTCTATGAAGTCGTTGAAAAATTGTATCGTTAAAATCGATATTTTTTTCTCCGAAAGTGCATCAATCCACGACGTAAATGGTTGTATACAATGTGTTATTTGATGTTGTAACATGTATTAATGTCCACTGGATTACACAATTAATAGGGAATCAAGAGGTCAATAATTTCCTGGCATACGCGAGATCGTGGTAATATACAACGTCACCATGAACAGAATGCAGGTTATGTGAGTGGAGTCGCCAGAGGCCGCGGCCGCACGCGCCCAACATAAGAACCGCCCGACAAGAAGCGCCGCGGACGGTTTCCCTCCGAAAAGGGATAACGCGGATCGTTCCGCAGCTTTCTCTCCTGGCGGCGGTTGCAGCACCAACATACAGCCGCGCTTTCGCGATTAACGCGCTTCGACCGGCGATAGTGACTTGTCGGGCGAAAGAAACGTCCACGAGATTCGGCGACTTCTGGCGATTCCTTTTCGAATTCGAACTATACTCCTAGGACAGTACACCCGCCGCAAACACATGCAAAATCGTCGGGCGAGCGGCGTGCACGTGAGGGCGCGACACACACACGTACACAACACAAGACGATCACTTGCGCGACGGCACTCGCACCGGCGACCTCCCGCGCGGCACGTGCCACGCGCCTCCGGCACGCCCCGATGCCACGCAGCTTTTTAAATCAGGAGGCCTTTTGGATTTTTCTGTCGCTTACTAACCGGCTTTCGGGCGATGGTCCTCTATTACAGGGACACAGCGAAAAGAAAGGCTGAATTCCGGGTTGAAGAGCAGATGGTTCGACATCGGACGGTAAACAGCTCCGACTGAACAGAACAGCAGCTTCCGTGGTGCGGGCGGTCGCAGGGTGCGAGGGCGCCGCACAGGTGGGCGGGGCACCTCAAAGGGCCCGGCTACTCACTTGTCCTTCTTGTCCAGCTTGGCGAGCGGTGGCGGAGCGAGGACGGCGGGGGCGGGCGCGGGCGCGGGCGATTGCGGCGGCGGCAGGGGCGAGTGGGCGCGGGCGTCGGGGGCGCGTCGTGGGCGGTGCGGGGGCGGGCAGCGCCTCGTCGCCCGGCCGCTCTTCGGCCCCAGCCCAGCGGCACAGCCCGTTCTCCTCACGGCGGCGGCGGCAGACCTCGTTGGGCTCGGGGACGGCCGGCGGTGGCGGCGTCGCCGGCGTGCCGGCGTCGGGCAGCGTCGCTGCCGCTCCGCGCGGCCTCGCATCGCTCGACTGGCGGTGGCGGCGGCGCGCGCGGCGGTCGCGAGCGGCGTGCCTCTCGCTTGCCACGGAAGCGCGCGCGCTCTGCGCCCGCTCGCCGCCCGCGCCCGGAGCGGCTCCGTGCCCCTCGCTTGCGTTCCTGTCACGGGCCCGTCGCGGCGCGGCGTCCGGCGGGGGTGCGGGTGGACAGGCGCTCTCCGACACGCGCCCTTTGACGCCCTTCGGAACAGTTGCGAAAAGGGGCCCTTGAAACAGGAGCGGCGAAACTGTGGGCCCAGCCGGGAGACGGGTCTGGGAATTATCCCTTTCCGCGCGAGGGGCGTATTCAATTAATGCACGCACCTTTCCGCAAACATGGCGAATATTACTTCCGTGATAACTCGGTAGAAGTTCATTACAATAAAGGACGGGATACGCTTACGTTTAATGGAGATATTTATACAACAAACAGTTTTCTATGAGGTATGAGGATAAAAGATAAAGTAAGGAACATCAATCATTCAATTACAGTGATTATTCATCTAATAACGAAACATATAGCCTACACCTAGGCAGTTCTAAGTCCTAAAGCATAGTCCTGATCATTGAATCCGGTGGGACATCAAATTACATCGTGGGTTGTGGTTTGAGGCACGTGAAGACGTAGGCATAGCAATGAGACGTCAGATCACAAGATTTTCTCACGGTGACGCTGATATTATTTGGAGCCTTTAGCATCAGTGACAGCTTGTGGCGTATTCTTTGGAAGCCTACTTAAACAATTGTACCAGTAATGCAGTAATTAATGTAATTAAATTGCCATGCAATAATTGATGTACTTTTTTTCTATTAGAAGGAAAAGCACATCTGTAACGAACAATTAACATGTCTCATTTTTATTTTAGTCTAAACTTATTTAGACACCAATTATGTTCAGAAAGCATCATCAACCGATACATTAGAACGTATATCGTGACATTTCAATTTCAATATTAAAAGTCTTGCCTGACAAGTCCTCTGACAGAAAAAATGTGAAGTTGGCAAGGCCTTTGCTACAAATCTAACATAAGATATTTGATTTATTTTCAACGTTTATCAGTGATTACTTCATTATTCATTCAATGCGATTAGACAACAGTTGAGTAAATACAGTAAGTATAAAACCGGCACAGGTGGCCTAGCGCATCCACTGCAGTCACTGATGTCACTGGAGTGGACTACTGACCGGAAGGACCCAAGGGTTCGGGTCCCGATGGAAGCAGGTTTTTCGACACTAGAAAAGACAGCTAGATCGAATTCAGCAACTGTCTGGAGGAGAATTCTAGTGGCCGGCTGCTCTAATCGGTAGCTTTCCGTGGTTTCTCCAATCAATACCAGGCGATTGCCGAACCAATACCGTAACGACCGCAAGCGATCTTTCCTACCTCTTCTTCATCCTGTCCTCACATCTTGCACACACTTACACTAACATGCACTGCACTACCACACATAACGGGAGACCGGTCTGCAACTTGGAGCTTGTCCCGGCTGGGGCGGTGCCATGCTGGTGGGAGATACCTGGTTGGGGAAAATACCCGCAAGCCGAAGTAGGTTGGTACCAGATCTTGTCAGTCAACGGGGGCAAATTAAAGCCACCGCTCGCGATAAAACTACACCTACAGGACTAATGACCTTAATAGTTGACGCGTTCGGAATCATCAGTCGATTCGGAATCATCAGGCAATACGAGATAAGCTAAACAATATTGTTCATAACTCGGAAATGAAGCTGTAAAAGAAAAATACACACATCTAAATAAATCTTACACTTTTCTTGAAAATGATGAAAGCCGAGTTGCTGTAAAAAAATGAAGCGCTACAAATTTTAATGAAATTTGAACTCTGGGGTGTCCGACTACCGCCGCTATTTTGGTGTTTCCTCTCATTATTTCCCTATTGATATCAAAAATAATATAAATGTGCCCAGGGGATATTTGTTCTAAGTAGTGTATTTTTATATTCTCCCTACGAAGTAGAGAAAAAGTTATGAAACGATGCGCGAAAAAACAGCGAACTTTCCGCAGAAAACTCTTATTACAGGGCTCTGTTAACGAAAAAGTGGATAAAACCAGTTGCTAAATTTAGGACACGTGGTGTAGCCATAATCCATGTTTTGTGGGTCCTTTACACCCAAAAATTCAATGAAGGCAAAATGTCTGTCGGACCGTCCGACTGTCTGTGAACAACAATAACGGCTTAACCGTTCAACCGATTTTCTCCAAAATCGATATTTCCCAATTAATCTGGCTGACATCACGGTCCCTTGACTTTGAAACCGACATATTTAATTTTGAGGATACTTTACTGAAACCCTTGGAACATTTTCAAAATTTCCAAAACAAAATGGCTCCGTTTTTGATTAAATTGTGTTGTTGGATAGTGAAAAGGACATTTAAGAGAATGGATAGTTGGATCGTGATAGTTGAAAACCCTGATTTTTTGAAAATTACAAAAATTTACAATTTTTTCAGCGTCTTCCTACAATTAAATATTAAAGAGATTTGTCCCTTAATGCACTCTATTCTTTAAAGATAGATTTGGAAATTGTATCCTAAACTATTTTTCGAAAAGCGAGTATTTTTCACATAATTTTGCATAAAAAACGGGTTAAAAAGTACGAGCTGTTTTAGCACAGTTTACAACTAAGAACTTGTCCCAAAGCCTTTTTTCGAAAAAGGTTGTTTTGTCTTACATTTACCGCATCAAAAAAATTATAAGTGGCATATCCGAGCAAATTTCTAAAAACATTGATTGCTCTAGAAATACTTCCGTTTTTAGCTATATCAAGGGATGGACAAAAACTTTATTATATATTATAAATTGTCTCTAGCCCGGAAATACCCTGCTAATGAAGTTCACGTCGTAGTGTTTGAAAGGCGATTGGATTTATAAGCGCGACATTCAGTTTCGCAAATCACTTAGCAGTTGGTCATGTTTTTCACCCTAACTCTATTTTAAGTTAACATGTCTCCATTATCCAACACTCTCATTTGTCCCCGCTGTTATAAGCGGATGCATTTTTCTCACATCCTGTATGAGGTCATAACATTTGAGGTTTGAAACATCAAAGCCTCTGCGAATGCAGAAATTGTACTGGTGGTGGTAGTGGGCAAATACTCAGCGCCAATTACACATTCTTACTACAATAAACTCTTCATTATCAAGGAGCCTTTTACAAGGTGATTCCATTATTTGTCTTTACCTGTGTATAGGTACCTTCTTATCACGCGGTCTCTAGTTCTGTGAAAGGAGCAAAAGTACCTTCCTGTCTAAACAGGAAGTAGTTAGATCTTTTGCGGAAGCGATAACGACAACCACCGCAAAACAACAATACCAACAATTACAACAACTATGTGAACAATTGATAGGGAGTATATTATTACTCGAGGGCTAAGAGAACGCTATGCCGAAATTTGAATTGCCTCAAAATGTGTTAAAAGTATTATGAGACTTTCTGTACATAATTGAATAATAACTTCGAGTCTTACCGTGGAACTGCTTCGAGTGGAGGTGGAAATTAAAAATGATTTAAAGGGTACTGCACTTCTGCGACCAAATGCGCTCTGTGCCGCTTGTCTTTGGAATTGGCGAGAAGGGATTCCGCCTGGAAGGCTCCGACAAGGCGCAGGGCATCGCAAACATCGACATGTTGGTCTAGATTCCTAAGGTCCTTGAGCTCACTTAATCCCTTCACTCCTCACTCTCTCCTGTCCCTTCCCTCTCTTCCTCACTCCTCCCCTTTCCCTCTCCTTCCTTCACCTCTACCATTCTCTATCCTGTTTCCCTCCCCGTCTCATTCCCTCCGTCACCCATTCTGCGCCTCCTCTGCGAGCCTAGTCGTCCTTGCTGCCTTGGACTGGATCTAGGGCCAGCGCTTTGGGAAGGCGCGGTACAAGGTCTTCATTCGCTAAAGTTTGCTATTTCTTTAATCTTGCAATTTAGAGAGGGTGAGTTGTTTATGGTAAGAAATAGTTGTTGTTGTTTTTGTTTTTGTTTTTTTTTTTCGCTGCTCAACTTCCAGTATTGTCGGTTTATCCAGCCTCCTCGTAGACATCATGCTTCCATCACGTTCTACATCCTTCTTCCAGCTTTTGGGTAGCCTGCCATGTTTCCTTATTATATGTGTTCATAATCACATTTTCTTTTGCCACATTATGTTATCCAGCGCCTCGGTCTGAAGAGTTGGAGTCCTGCCGTGGGCATGAGTGTTTGTTTTTTGTCGCGGAAGGCCTTGTGAATCTGCTGACGACATACCGGGGATCAATGAATGATATCCCAGCCCTGAAGCCATTCTGCTCTTCATATTCTGTGAATTGGTCTTCGATTCTCCGTTTTATGATCTTATCATACAGTCTTGCTACGAAGAACATAACGCTAATACGCCAATAGTGCATGCATTCCCATCTGCCTCCTTTCTTATAATGAGTAATATATGCCTTCTTGTATTCCTGACATAGAACATCATCTACAAAACATATTAGATGCTGCTTTTAGCAATTCTATATTGAAATTACCAGTCTCAAGAACTTTCCTGTTTATCATTTATACTAAAGTATCTCTTAGTTCTTCAGGACTAATGAGCTTAATATTCGATTCCATATTTTCTTTCTCCTCTTGTCCCTGCTGCAGTTATTGTACTTTATCTTCGGATAATAGCTGTTTAATAAAAGTTTTCCCGCCGTTGCAAGATAATCGTGCATAAGATACCTTAATTTTCCATTCTTAACACCTTTATTATTATCTATGCTTTACTTGATCTTGTATTTCCTATGAATCTATCAACTTCCCCAAAGGTCGTTTCCCAGTGCTCGTTCTTTGTAATTATAATGCTCATTGGGGTCTCTTTCGTCGGTTTCAAGTATTCTGTTTTGTCTCGAGATATTTTATTGTTAGCTATCTTTTGTATACTTGCTTGTTTTCTTTCTACAGAGGCTTCAAATTTGGATTTCACCAAAATATTATTGTTCTTTTTATTTCCAGTATTTCTTTCCCCCCAAACTTCATTAGCTGATTGATAGATGCACAATGTCAAGGCTTCGTAGAATGTAGTCGGAGTTCCCTCACCTATTGTTAGAACTTTGACGAATGACGAATTTAATGTAACAGTTTCGTAGAGCCATTCTCAAGGCATTCCATATTATATGTTGTAGTTAGAAATTCCCTCTCAGCATCAGGTACATTCTGGTCATATGAATGTTTGACCTGTTTACTAAATGGAAAGTACATCTTCAAACTCAGAAAGTATTGGCCTGAGGCATATCACGCTTTCTCATAGTTCGTGCTTCATTTACTTTTAATTTAGCATGGCGTTTAACAATAACATATTCTATAATGGTCTT